GGGTTCTTCTCGTTTAGCCAGTCACAAGTAGTTATAAGCTCCACCAATCTGACGCTGCCAACCCTTCTCCCAATACGGTGGCAGATTTTTACCAGCTTCAGCTAAATCAAACTTTTGCTCGAAGGAGACGATGATCTGACCATCTGCTGAAGGATGGTATCACTGAGACATCCAGTAAGCGCCACCTTCTGTTAGTGAGAATGTGGTCGATCTCCTCATGAGTCGTACTGTTGGGTGACTCCCATATCCACCGCCGGTATTATTTCTTAATGAAGATGGAGTTGTCATGAAAAAGTCGTGCGGCGGATAAGAGCCCAACAAGACAGTTACCATTCTCATTTCGGAGCCCTGATCCAACCTCGATCCTATGCTCCCCTTCTTCTGACATCCGGATTTTCGCATTGAAGTCAATAACGACGGATTTGTAGAATGAATTTTCTTTCCGAATGATTTTCTTCGAATTCTCATAATAAGCATCTAGTTGCTAGCCATCACCAACTAATGTTGGAGAATAGCAGTTGATGATAGCGACAGCTTTCTGATACAGAGGACGGAGTCGAAGGGTAGCCAGGCGAGGTGCCAAGATCTCGTGGTAATCGAAAAAATGGCCAAGAGATGGGTTCAACGCCTGCAACATTCCTTGATGGCACTTTCTCATAACGAATGATGTGTAGGCCGTCACTCAACTGCCTTACGCCCGTCTTCTGTGATTGTTTCCTGCAATTACGTATTAACTGATGCGTCCTACAGTTTCGAAAAGGGCGCGAAGATCGATGATGGTCGAAGCTTTTTTGGCCTTAGAAGTGCAGAGCATGAAACACCAACAGCGAGCCGCTGACATGTCCTTTTGGTCCGATATCCTTGGCTCTTGTGCAACCTGACAGTGGTCATCCGACAGGTGGATATGACCCAGTGTGTAGGCCTTTTCTTTCTCTTACATGCCAGGCAGTAAAATCTTTCCCTGATCTTAGCAGCCGTGCCGGAGCGTGTTAAGCTTTCTCGCAATTGCTGACCTAGTGGAGCAGTGAACCATCTAGCTTCTGATCGGCCAGACATTGCACTAATTCTTCTAGCTGGGCATTCGAAAAGACAAAAACGTCGAACTCCGTCACAGTTTGGGAAATTGCTAGAGGATAAACCTCGCTGTACTTTGCACGATTTATAGAGTCACCTTCGCGCCACGATGAGGCGACAGGCCATTTCGGGGGACAATTCATTTCATTCGCTTTTTATGCGAATCAAATTTTCACGTGTGCAGAGTTCTTAACGCATTAAATATGGAGATTGGCAGAGAGAAGGAACAAGAAAAAAATGTTGTTGTGAAGAAGGGCCACTTCTTGTAACTTCTCCCTATTAAGAAGATCGCAAGCCAAAGTGTGATTGCCAATTTTTTCTCTCAAGTAATTAGGTCTTAGAAGCTCCAAAAGCAACAAACTGACCATTACAAGTTCTACATGTTGTTTCAAAAATTTAAACTGATCATCTTATTGACAAATATTACTGCTATTACGATTCGGACAAGATGCGCGATTATGGGTTTTTGAAAAACGACGCCAGTGATTTGAGTTTCAGCAATTCTGCGATTTTCAACTGGCTGCATGACAGAGTCTGTACGAACATAAATGCACTACTTCTCAATTCATCCATGACAATTTTTGACGAATTGTTTCATTGAAGGCTGAGCTTTGGCACACAAATCAATGTTGCATTCTTCTTCATTCATCCGAATTATTCGGTACTTTAACAAACGTGTTGGAGGCCGATGTATTCGTGGTTCAAAACTATAAGCAAAATATTGTATTAGAGTACGATCGAGCGCATAAAAAACGATTAGAGTAATATTCAATAAAGTGCTCGAAAACTTTTTTTGCAGGCTAAAAAGCAAATTTCAGCAAACATCCGGTTGGCAATCACCCCTGCTAGGTGGTTACTGATATAGATGAGTACTGGAACTCTCAATCTCGTTTCTAAAGCTGGTCATATGGACTGTTCCCAAAGTGATCACCCCTCCCAATAATATTTGCAAATAGAGTATTTATAGAATTCTAACCCTTACACAACTGAAAAGAATGGTCACCTGCGAGAGTTGCTATAAATTTTTGAGATTTTTGGTGCACATACATAAAAGCTTAGCAGACAAACCAGTTTGTGATGACAATAATATTAGCAAAGCAATACAGTAATAAATAGGACGATTCAAAAATTCAATTCACGCATCAAATGAAGAGAAGATCTTTTTGTAGAAGATAGGCGTCGTCCATTCTAAAACAGCATTCGGAGTTTTTCCAGTGAAATTAAGATACAGCTATTTTTGCTACCTAACAACTTTGGCAGCCTTATTACAGTACACAATATTCTAAGCAAACTATTTCCACTGCTGTGAGGCCCATTGCTGTGACATATTGCATTTTTGAAGGAAAAGAACATCATTTTACTCCTCTTGGAGTGTTATGGTTTCAAGAACAACGGATTTTTTAACAGCTGTGTAAGAGAAAAATTCTAGGAAATGAAAAAGAGCACCAATGCTCAATATATAATGCATATGAGAATCAAATCAGACATTCAAAAAGAAAGAAATCATGAAGCTCTTAAAATTTGAAAAAATACATATAATATATTAGTTTCGAAGGTCCTTGAAGAAAACCATTATGCCTTCCGTACCATCGTGCATATCGAGTTTATATTCAGGCTTATAAATGCATTTGTAGCCATGTTTAGCCAATAACCTTTGATTGGCTAACGATGACGCCTCAGATGCAATTCCTTGGACACCTTGTTTCTAAAAAAACATAGAAATAACGTTTTTCTCAATATTATAAGCTTAGAACATCAGCGTACCTTCAACTCCTCAAAATCTAATCCAAGATGTAGTAGATAATTAGCGATGCCTTTTCGTTGATGCTTTGGAATTACGTATGTAATTTCACGACGTAGAACCTTATGAATTGAAGGATCTACGACCTTCCAAAACCTTTCCTTTGACTCATCCAACAGTTCACCGAAAATATCATTCATTTTCAATATGCAGACTCAAGCAGGTGTGAAACTTACAGAGGCGGGTTACTGCTGGATGAGTGGATGGGACGAAAGCGATCGGTTCGACATCTAAGCTGTGATCTCGGTGTCCAATAGATAAAAGGCGGAATCCAATCAGATTCTTCGTTCCCTGCAATATGCGTCCGCTTAATTTTTAGAGGGAGTGGGGTTTATGACTTAAAACTTAGTTCTTTGTTCACTTATTAATTCATTCTCTAATTCATACTCTTACTCGTTCATTCATATACTTAAATGGTCGAGAATCATACCTTTTCGTGTATCCGATATGAATAGGGATAGTGCAAAGCTTTCGACACAATGTACTCAAAAAGTCCCTTTGAGGCTTCGGCTGTCATTCCTAAGGCCTGAAATTGTAGCTGATTCTCACAATGTTCGTTAGCGTAAAAAAGCTTCGAATTGCGCTGTTAGACAAACGCATAAAAAGCTTGGGATTTTTTGAAAAGGTGAAAAAAAGCTTTATAACTCTAAAAATCCCAAGCCAAGAATATCATCCATACCTTCGAATGAGGTTCGTCATGTATGAATTTCTTAGTGCATAAGTCAACAATATCGGGCATATCGTGACTTGTAGCAGGTACAAAATCGAACGCTTGCGTTGGATCCACCTTCTTGCAGTCTGTATTCACTCATATTAAGTGAATGAAGTGAAATGGAAGAAAATTGTACTTACAGAATCGAATCTGGCCGAGGGATCGACGTAGCATTGCTGAAAGTCTGGATTATTGTCTTGTAATAAACACACAAATCGAAAAAAAAAGAAAAAAAAAGAGTTTAAAAT